GAGGAGCTGTGCAAGCAAATGGACAAACTTTTGAAGGAGAGCCCGAACAACCAAAGAATATACGACTGGATCGAGGTGAGGGTGTGGGCGCAGTGGGTCTGGGGAGTGGGTCCTGCTCCCTCCCCAGCTCACAGCCCCTTTACCCTCCCTCCTCCAGGCCAACCTGAGTGAGCAGCAGGTCTCATCCAACACGTTTATCAGGGCCCTGATGACATCCGTGTGCCACTCAGCCATCGTCTGTGAGTACCAGGGTGATGTGGGGGGGGTCCCTCTGCCCACCCGTCCTCCCTCTCACACCCCATCTCCTGCAGTTGAGAACCCCTATCGCGTGGACGCCCTCGTCATCCGTAACCAAGCCAAGCTGCTGCAGAAGTACCTGCGAGATGAGCAGAAAGAGCTCCAGGCGCTCTATGCCCTGCAAGCCTTGGTGGTGAAGTTGGACCAGCCTCCCAGTGAGTGTCATGGGACGGGTGGGCCGAAGGGAGGGGTGGCGGGCATGTCCCCAACCCAGCAGGATGGCTGGTGGCTGGGGATGGTAAGGGGACCCCCTTTCCCAACCCCCCAGACCTGTTGCGGATGTTCTTTGACGCCCTCTACGATGAGGATGTCATCAAGGAGGAGGCTTTCTACAAGTGGGAGTCCAGCAAGGACCCAGCCGAGCAGCAGGGCAAAGGAGTCGCTCTCAAATCAGTGACAGCCTTTTTCACCTGGCTCCGGGAAGCTGAGGATGAGTCGGACAACAACTGAACAGCCGTGAGGAGGAGGAGGAGGAGGAAGGGGGGAAGAGAGAGTGGGGCACCCTGGGGAACAACTCCATCCCCTCCCACCCCTGGCCCCTCTGGACTTGCTGATGCTGGGGCCGAGGGACCTGCTGTGCCCCCTTGCAGCCCTCCTCTCTCTCTTCAGTTTCTCCTCCTCTCCCTCCTCCCCTGTCCCGGTTCTGTTTGCAAGGCCTGTACTAGTTTGTCACGATGATAATAAACGGATGCTGACAGAGGTGGCCCCTCTCCCCTCTCCCAGCGCAGGCACACCGGGTCTCTGGGAGCCGGGCAGAGCACCCCTGGAGTCGTGTCATGGGGAGGGGGGACGGGATGGGGACATATCTCTCCCCTCCTCTCCCTCCTCTTCTTCCTCCTCCCCACTTCTTGCTGAAATATAGAGAGATTATATATATATAAACTTATTAAATTTGGTTTGGGGACAGGAGCGTGATTTCTCCCCCTCCCCTGTCCTCTCTCTATTCCTCCATCACTGCCTGGACCCCCCCTCTATGGTTTTTTATTTTAAATATAAATCATTCCCCCCCAGCTCCTGCTCTGACACCTGGGGAGGGTGCCGGGGAGGAGGGGGGGTGACCCCTCTCTCTGGGCCAGGCCGAGTCCCCTCCTTCCCCCCTCCCCAAAGCCCCCATCCTCCTCCCAAACGTTTAAGGCCACAATTGGGCAAGCGACGGGGCGGCCCCCGCATCCGCGTCCCCTGTATTTATAGAGCGCCGGATGTGACGAGCCGCACGTGTAATTATTAAAACAAGGATTCAATTACTGGTCACGTGAATTTGTAAATAATTTTTTTTTGCTTTTTTTTTTTTTTCTTTATGGAGTATTTAATTGAAGATTTAAAGGCATCTTTTCACCTTAAAACTGGAAATAAAAGAACATTGCTAAATAATGCCCCGTGTGCCGCTGTTGCCGCCCCCTGTCCCATGACCCTTGCGCCTGGGCTGGCGTGGGGCTGCCAGCCTAGAGCCCAGGCAGGGGCCAGCGTCTCCTGGCACCCCAAGGCAGACGGTAGGTACCCCACCACACCCCGGGGCTGGGAGGGTGGCAAGGGGGTCGGATGTGCCTGGAGCCAGACCACCTGGGACCCTCATCGCCAGCTCTGCCTGGCACAGGGTCTCCTGTGGTGGAGCAGGCAGCCCTGCCAGCACCGTGGCTGCAGAGCAGAGCTCCAACGTCCCCAAGTGTCCCTTTTCCTGCGGGTGCAGAAGTGGCAGGGCCCGGATGGGCTTGGGAGAGATGATCTGGGCTTCCCCCCCTATCCCACCCCAACCTTCTGTCTTGGGGGGAGCCTTCTTGTCTTGCAGGTGGAGTGGAGATGGAGCAAGCCTGGGCTGCCCCCTGCCCTGATGGGGTTCCCCTGTGGGCATGTTCCTTCTGGGGATGGAGGTGAAAGGTGGGTTGGCCCCCCTTGGGGCTGGTCTGGTCTTTGGTGCGTTAGGCTGCCTCTTGCTGAGTCACCCTGGCCATGGCCCAGAGGGTACAGAATAATTAACCAGAGGCTGTTCCCCAGATTAGAGGCTGATCTGTCTGAGCTGCAGCCCTGGCAGCACTAATGCTGGGAAGCAGTTGGCAGGCGAAGGCCAGCAGGGCCTAGGGGTTGTACTGGCCAGGAGCTCCCCCTGAGTAAAGAGGGAGGCCCTTGGGCTGCTTCGGTACCCTGCTTGCCAAAAGGGAGGGTGGCACCCTGGCAATGCCCTTCTGTGCCAGGGAAAAGGTACCACAGCATGAATTGCCATCAGTAGGTTTCAGAATGAACAGGTATCTTTGGCTGAAGGTTCACCCCTCAAGCCTGGCCTGGTTCTCCTGCAGGGGTGGCTGCTGTGGTGCCATCAGATATGATGTCCTAAAGCCTGCTCCAGTGAGGTGGGACCTTCAGCCCCTTCTCACAGTCAGTGAGGCAGCCAAGCATGCTTAATTCTTTCTCAACATCCGCTCACAGGGCAGAATGCTTCTGGCAGACACAACCAGTCTGTTGTAATTTACAGGTAACTTGATAAAACAGCTGTCCTACATTTCTGAAGTGCTGAACACCTTGAAGAAACATTTGGCTAAAAGCAATGTAAAACAACTTTGAAGCCATTTAAAGCAGAGGCTGTGTGGTAGCAAAGCATAAGAAGGAATGTAAAAAGTCATCAGGCCTGATCAAACCTAGCTGTTAGATCCTTGCTCTCTTCATCCCCCTTCTCCTCTCTCTCCCCATCTCCCCTTTCCTCTCAGCCTCCCTCTCCCCCATCCTCCCCTTCCTTCCTCCCTCCTCCTCATCCTCATCCTTCATCCTCCTCTTCCCCAGCCTTCCTCTCGCCCTTCCTCCTCCTCTCCCCGTATCCCCATCCTCCTCCCCTTCCTCCCCATCTCCCTCCTCCCCCTCTCCCTCCTCTTCCTCCCCCAGCAGTGACGTCTCTGGACGTGCTGCTCCCCGGCCCCGGCGCAGCCACCGTTCAGGGTCCCCGTGCTCAGGTGGCCAAGAAGACC